CCTCACACCTACAGAGTGGTGCAAAAAGGGGTCCATTTTCAATTAACCATAACAACAATATACCACTATTTTCAATTACCCCTCGTAATTTCGCGGTAAGTGATAGTTGGTGAACAGAAAAGGCATCGGATCGAGCTCTTCCCAACGCTGTGTGAATGGTTCTGATATTCGGATATTACACTGAGGTATCGTCGAACGAAAAATCGGCTACATAGAGAAACGTCGTACCGGTTTCAACCCCTTTTTTGCACCACCCTGTAGTTTATTGAAGTCTCATCCGTGGTATGGAAAAACACTAGTAAAAAATATTTTTCCGCGACTACTACATACATACCAATATTACACCACTTTACGTAAAACGGGTGAGAATCTATTGTTCATTGAAAAAAACGACGATTAAAATTTTCAGCTCGCTTACATCGAGCCATTATATTCCACTGCACTGTGACTGTGACGAGCACTGGGCACCTGTCCCTAATACAATAACAACAAAAGATACAAAACTCGGACATTATTCGTATCCTTCTTGGTCACCCTCTAGCAAAGACAGCGATTGAAACATGTCTGGGCAAAGTCTTTGCCCAGACATGTGCCATGACATAAAAAATTTCCCGTCATCATCTTTGCCGCAAAGATGATGACGGGAAATTTTTTAGACCAGCTTTTCCGAAAGAACCACACGAACAGTGTTGGAATTTTTTTTCGGTTTCCTCAGCTGAGCTCGGTAGTTTCCTCACTTATATACGAATTTGACTATAAATGTACAGAAACTAACAAAAATCTCCGAAATTTTCTCACAAATTTCATATTGTCACCAACACATGTAGTTGACCATGCGCGTATTTTCCAACACTGCACGCGAAACAGATCAAACCAGTGACGCAAAATCTGGGAAATCTCGGTGGTTTCTAAACACCTATTCCCGAAGTCGTGTGAAAACTTTGGTAACATATCTCAGCTGAGGAAAGTGAATAAACTTCAACATCGAGGTTTCACGACCGTGATATGAAAAACACTAGTGAAAAATATATTTCACCACTACTGCATATCACCGCGAATATCGCGTTTTTCACAGAGTATTACGCCACTCCACGTAAAACAAATGGTGAAACTCCATTTTAACTTAGACGTTTTATTCCTCCCCACACCTACCGTATGAGCGACCAAAACCCACGACTGTGCTTGCGTATCGTAAAGCCATAAATCGTTCACTCTAACCAATCACAAGAAACCTCACAACAGCATATACCAACACCACCACCAACCTCGTAGACCCATCGTAGCCCCCAAAAATATATATGTTGCCTCGATATGCTACAGCCACGTGGCGGTCTCGGGCCGAAGGTCTTGGCGAGTAATGCCTGGGTAAATGCAACAGACTCGCACTGTGAAGAAACGGTAAGATACGCTGCGCCTCTCTTCATACAGTAGGTCGCAGGATCGATTCCCGCTTGCGACAAGTTCGAAAATTTGAAGCGTTTTAAAGACGGCACGAAGACCCCACTAGAAGTGACTTACGAGACGGTCGACCATGCCTTGGTGGGAAAGTGGTATCTTAGCGGAAAATTCCCGAAAAAAAATCAAAACCATTTACGATTACTTATGAAAATCGTTTACACGGTTGCTTCCATCATAGCCACCAAATACGTACCTTCACATCGAGGACGCACACTGACCAAAGCGGATAAGTCATCTCACATGAAGTCTTCCACCACCACACTAACATGAAGACTCCTAGCCCTAGGGGGAACTCCGCTACTGTGGCTTATCGTCGTCCATTGACCAGGCACTTCTAAGGAGTATATCGCAGTGTAGGGAGTACTCCTCGAATGAGCTCACCATCCGTCCTCCTCAGCTCCTCTGAAGATGCCAATGAAACACCCTGGAGTAAAAGCAGGACTCAGCGATAAACGCGAGAAACTCCCGAGTAATCAGTGAGTAAAATGTGAAATATGTTTTTCATATCACGGGTGAAGCTCCAATGACATACATAGCGTAGAATATATCAAATATTTTTAAATGATTGTATTGATACCAAGATTCGAACCCGGGACCATCAACTCACCGGCTCAGCAACCCTCCGTCGCTGTCTATGCCGTCCTCGCTGCAATTCTTCCACCCTCATAGATTCCTCTGCGAAACCCTAAGTGAACCAACTTTGACAGCCCAGAGATACTTTCCCCGTTTACGAGAGCTTCCCGCTGATGCTCGTGTGCTTCCATCGAGATGACCGACAGGTCTTCTGTCACCTCCACATCCGAGTTGTTGTCAGGCCGAAGTACCTCGAGGCACCTCTCAGCGTTCGTATACATCCACAACAATGGAGTTTCACCCTAGTGATATGAAAAACACTAGCGAGAAATATATTCCACGACTACTGCATATCACCGCGAATATCGCGTTTTTCACAGAGTATTACACCACTTCACGTAAAACGGGTGAAACTCCACTGATTTCACGAACATGGTTCAACAACGACGCGCCTACACAGAATTCCCCGAGGATCGAACGTTTAGATATTAGATCTTAGTTTTTCCTTCTCCAGTGTGGGGCGAAATATGCACATGGTCAACTACATGTGTTGGTGACAATACGGAAATTCTAGAAAATTGTTATTGATTTCTGTACACTTCTACCCGGATTCGTATATAAAGAGCACTCCTGAGCTCAGTTGAGGAAAGCGATTCCTCCAACACTGCCCTTTTATCTGTCGAGTTCAGAGTCGGCTTTGTCAGACGGATCACAGCCTCTGAACGGTGTTTACATTTTTCCGCATTTTCGACTCTGAGCCCCTCAAAACCAACACGGGCAATGCACTCGAGTTGAATTCATATGATAGTATCTTAGCTCCACGCGCGAAAGATACGACTCAGGCCCAAGAATGGGTCACAGAGATATGCTCATTCTCATGCAGCACTCACTCCTTCCTCTTCGTCCTCTTCTTCATACATCATAGGTATTCCTACTGCCGATGCCCTATCCGATGGCCCTAACACGAGAGGCTCCTCCTCAGTCATCGCCAACACCACCACGCTACCTATGGACATGCCGACACTTTCACTGCTGTTGATACGGGACATAAGTCAACCCGGAAGGGAAGAACTAGAGGGTAGTGAAACATGATAGATAGAATTGAGCCCAAGGGGCATTGGATGATGACTATGAC